AGCATGGCCATGCTCAGATACCTAGTATAGTCCCAAAAATGATTTCCCGAAAGGAGAAGATGAGGCAGGATGAGAAATCTCATCAACAGAACGTAGGTTGGGTGGATTTCATGTGGACTTCCAACTCCCAGAATCCCCCAGTCGGGATGGCTGAATTCTGGGAGTTGAAGTCCACGTGTCCGAAAGTTGGCAAGCTGAGGAACACGGTCCCAGAAGCAGAAGTTTCTACAAGGCCTAACGGTCAATGCTAGAAGATCCTGGAAATAGGTTATGAGCCAACACATCGGAGATGGTTACTCCTCTCACTTCCACTCACCCATGAACAGACTACTGCAATGTGCTCTTTGTGGGGCTCCCTTTGAAGACTGCTGAGAAGACCTCTATCTTACTGGCATGAACCCAATAGAGACGCTGAGGGTTTCCCGTTCACATAAGATCCAAAAAAAGGGCAAAACTGCACTGGTATTTTTTTTCACCTCTTCCCCCTGCGAAGACCCTCATCCTGCCTTCATGCCTAACATTCAGGAAAACAGCTTAAAAGCAACAGCCCCCCCCCTTTTTTTTAAAAAAAAGATGTCGATCTCAAATGCAGCCCCTGGAGAAAGGATGCCAAAGAGCTGGATTCATTTATGTGTCTGATGTTAAGCCTTTGATGAAATTTGCCCTAGGAATTGATTTGAACTGAGCATCGCAAACCCACCCCCCTATCCAAGTCGCATAAAATACAAGCCCACAGCCATCCCGCAGTGAGCCGTCTCGCAAAACGGGGTGTTTGGAAGGGTGTGGCCCGACACCAAATTTGGTTTTACGCAGAAAGCAATTTGAGTTATTCAACCCCGAATACGTTTTCCGTCACCTGAGTTTCTCCCCCCCTTCTGAGCAACCCACAAAACACAGGACTAACAAGCCCCCCCCCTCAATTTTTATTTTCTAAGAACATTTAGGAAGGAATAAGGCTTCATCCAGCACGTTCCTTCTCCCCCCCCCCCACACCTTTCCATGACTATTAATTGAAGGAACTGCAAGATTTTGCAAAGCAAAGCTGCCCGCAGGATGGAATTCCCTCTTTTCCCATTGCCGAAGTCCACACTTTTCCTCCTTGAAAAAAACTTCTACATATTTTAACGCACAGCTTGTTCCCAGGCCGAGTGCAGCCCTGGAAATTGTTGGCACCATCCTCCCCGCCTCCCCCAAGTTATAAATACGCCCCTGAAAAAATCAGGCAAAACAAGCCAAAACACACGGGCCCTTTTTTCAATGTCCATACATTGTTTGTTTTATGAAACCTCTTCCCCATCACAAGTCTTTCTGAATATGTAACCGGGATAGGAAAAGAAGAAGGAAGAAGAAGAAAAATCCACATGTTTTCTGAACGGGGCATGACCCAGCAGTTGGAAACGCAAAGGAGATGCCAGCTAATCTTGTAAAAGGTTTGGCACAGGGGAAGAGAGTTGCGAAAGGCACAAGGTTTTAAAATCTTTACGGATGTCTTGTTTTGAGCCCCAGGCACCACACCCTTTGGGCAGCTGAGATTTCTGCCATCTTGAATTAAGGATGGACAGGCAGACGGAAGCAGAGGCAGATAGTTGGCACTTCTCTGGGTGTGGAAGAGAAGGCATCTCAGCCTTGGGAGAACACCAGCCACCGGAGACGCCCGCCCGGCATCAAATGTCAAAAATGTGCCACCACCAGCAGCTTTAGCAAGGAGCCTCAGGCATGTACAGTGGGCAGGTGGGCGGGCATGTGCCTGGAATCCCCTCCCTCAGTGCCCTGCTCTCCATGGGCAGGGAGGGGCCAACCAGGGAAGATAGGAAGCCCAGCCACCTGTCGGGGAGGGGGGGAGATGCTCACTTGCACCACCAGCCGCCATCCGTCCTTCTAAAATGACAAGCCAGCTCTGGGCTTGGCATTCTTCTGACTGGGGAGGAAACCCACCCATCCACCCCTGTGCTGCCTCTCGGAGGCAGGAGGTTTAGCTCTGCTTCTTTGCGGGCAAGGTGGAACAAAGGTTGCAGAAGAGAGAAGTGGTGAGGAGGGGGCTTCACCACCCTCCCGCTACCAGCCAGATCTTTTCCTGCGGAGCAGCTGGTGTCGGGCTGAGCTCCACCCTTTGCCAAGCAACCGCATTTGCAACGAGCAAAGGGGGGGGGGCGTGGGCCACGCGAAGCCCCGGGAAGGACGCTGCATTCCCCCCCCTCCCCAAAAATGGATAAGGGTTGGGCCGGTCGCCGCCCTGGGCTCAACGCGGTTGGCAAGCGAGTCTTGGGCAATGCCGTCCGGCTCAGCTGGGTCCCTGCTCAACGGGCAGGACTACAAGGCTCATGATCCTCAGCCGGTGGCCACAACGCCAACCGGTTTTGTGGGAGGGGTCCCCGAGCAGGCTTGGCAAAAAAAACCCCTCCCCGCTCGAACGAGACTGCAGCAAAGGCGGACCCGCCTCCTGCCGCCCCCTCCCCTCCTTCGGTCTCCGCGCCTTGGAAGCGGGGTGGGTGGGGGCGAGGCCAGGGGGTCGTCCTAGGGAATCCCCTTCCTAATACCCGGGGAGGGGGGGCGATCCCTTTCTCCCTCGCCCGCCCGCCCGCCCGCCGCATTTCCCCCAGCAGAACAGGCGGCGCCCATATGAACGCGCGGCCAACTTAGGGTCGTAAATCAAAGCGGGGAGGGGGGGGCGGACGGGGCTCTTGCAGGGTCTGCGTTTTGGGGGGATTCCCCCCCAGCCTTCCACCCCTCGCCCCCTCACTCCCAACGCCCCAACTCCGTTGCTTTTGCGCCTTCCCGTTGCTTTTCCACCTCCGCGCACCCCGCCCCTTTTCCCTCCACTAGTTGCAAAGCGGTTGTAGCAGCTGCTGCACCCTGGAGTAGAGTAGAGTAGAGGCGGAGGGAAGGAGAAAGGTGGGTGTGTTCTCCAACGGTGCTAAGCCCGAGAGCGCGAAAGGCGCCCTCGCTCTCCGGCAACCGGGTGGGACTCGCGCGCCCTGCCTAGCCAGAAACCATCCTCGGGCGGGTGAATGGGCGGGCAAGCCGTGCACCCCCTTCCCACGCGGGCACCTCCAGGGCTGAGCACCCCCTTTCCACTCTGGCAGCTCTACGGCTGGGCGCCCCCTTCCCACGCGGGCACCTCCAGGGCTGAGCACCCCCTTTCCACTCTGGCAGCTCTACGGCTGGGCAGCCCCTTCCCACGCGGGCACCTCCAGCGCTCGCTTCGAACTGGAGGGGCTCCGGGAGCCGCCGCCCCAGTTATCAAAGCAGGCGCGCCGTGCTTGGAGAGCGCCAGACGCGCGCTTGCAGCGGGCAACCCAAACTGGTTGTAACCTCGGTGGCAGCTGCAAGAGGCTGGATGGAGCCTTGGGTCTGGGGGCGAGAGCCTCCCGTCCATCTCGGGGCGCCCCCTACTCACCTCCGCCGCAGGAGCTGGCGAGCAGGAGGCAGCCCAGCAGCGCCAGGGAGATCAGCCGTCCGCAGCTCATGGTCTCCCGCACGGTGCCCGGACTCCGACTGCGGCCAAGGAGCCGGGGAACTGGAGCCCGGCGGCTGACGTCACGGGCGAGGGGAGGGGCTGCTACGAGGGGGGGGGCGCCCAGGACGCCCCCTCCCCGAGGGTGGGCTGCACCAGCGCGGAAAAGCAGGCGGATCCGAGCAGGTCGCGGTCGAGCCGGAGGGTTTTCCCAGGTGCCGGGTTACCGATGCGGGCACATCTGGCCAGTTTCCCTGGCAGATGCGTGCAGCGGAGCTTGCAAGTGCCACTCGGGGTGCCCGGTTCAGTTTCTTTTCTTTTTTTTTCAGACAAAGAGAAAAGTCACGATTCCAACTTGGGATCGGGAAGGCGACGGAGCTTCGGGGGTCTCAACAGAGCCGGTCTGGGTGGGGAGAAAGCAGGGGCCCCTCACCCAAAACTGGGCTTGTGGGGGAACCAGCACTCCCAGCTCCCCTCCTGACCTGACATTCCCTGGGGGAGGACCCTGCTTTGCCACATCTTCCGTGGACATCCCATCAGGACTGAAAATCCCAAATAGGCTGAATGCAGTGAAAAGGGGCGTGGTTCTGGCCCTCCCCCACCTCTTAGATTTCGGCATATGCCACCAAAAACGTGCCCCTTTCACCTGGCACTCTCTGCACCATCCTTTTAACCTCCCCTGTTGGGGAAGTTTCTCGCCTGCCCACAAGGCGAGCAAGATGCCCAAATTTTGCCAAGCATCCAAATTTGGGTCATGCTGCAGTGGTCATAGGTGCGAGGACTGGTTGTAAGTCATTCTTTTCAATGGTGTTTGAATGGTCACTAAACAAAAGGCCGTGAGTCAAGGACTTACCTGTACAGTCTCTCTGAGAGTGAGATAGGTGATGCTTAAATGTGATATACAGAAAGACAGACAGACAGACAGAAGAGGGAGAAGAGAGGAGAAAGAGAGAGAAAATTATGCAGTGATAGGTAGGTAGGTAGGTAGGTAGGTAGG